GTACGACGATGAAAGTTTTCGGTCGATAATGCATCGATTTTGGACGAGATCGCAAACGCACAAGGTCTTCCGCCTTCGAAGCTGGTAAGTTGCTAGGGTAGCAGCTAAACCAACAGAAATGGATAAGAACGGAAGTAGATAAGGACAAACGGCCGGATAAGCTCAACCAATCTTATCCGCCATGTGTCACCACCCGGAGCCGGATTAGTGTCCGGATGTGTGTCGCGATGCCGTAATGCTTATCCACCACCTCGTGCTTCCACCACCGCCCTAGCCACACTATAAATACCCCCTCCCATTTCATTTTCTCTTCACACCCAAAAATGAATTAAAACCATTCCACGAGAGTGAGAGTCCGAGTGTGACCCAGCTAGTCCGTGGTAGTATCCGAGTAGGATCGCCGAGAGTCTAGAGTCCCTAGTAGCCAAGTCAAGGTAAGTTTCGAAGCTTGTGAGGTGGCACACGACTAGGATTATTTTTAAGTGTTTATGTAAGATAATTAATTCCTTATTTATTTACTTATTTATTTATATTTAGCATGAGGTTATGGATTTATACTTAAAATAATGCTAACATTATATTGGCATTATTTGTGGTAATTGTAAACGGGTGAATGTTCTTGATTGATGAATGTGTGATAGTATAACTTCGTGATAGATAACTGTTATGCTAGCATTTATGCGCATAACCGTTATACTATCGGATTGTTATATTATTTGGTTGGTAGTTATGCTTTAGTTAGATATCTAGCACTAGTCGGATCGTGCTATCCTCGTCGTTTATGGTATGTTAGGTAACGTGATCATATATGAGACTCGGGGCCGGGTCGCGATGGACCGAGTACCTGCATGACGATGTAGAGTAAAGGGATGACAGATCTTCTATAGACTTTATGTTTAGAAGTGTAGGGCATTGCCTTGGGGATATCATGGATTCGTAGGGGCCCAAAGTAGGATCGAGACGAGGTGTATTGCTTACTATTTGGTTTACTCCTTATGGCTTCTAACCCATAATGCTTATTGATCGTCATTGCTTGTGATTGGGGGTTGGGTTGGGTTATTATGTTAGAGATCCCGGACTTACTGAGTAATGTTAGAGTACTCAAGATTCTACCAATTTGTTTTGCAGGTAACCATTAGTGGGAAACCTTAGAGGAAGCAAAGGACGTTAGGCCAACCGGTGTAGATTTGCATGCCTTTGTAAGATGTAGTTTTGTGTATAATACATATGACTCTATTTTCCCGATATTAATAATGCGATGTTTTTATAAACCCCATGTCTCCCATGATATTATTAGTCTTGTCCGGACTAACACAACTCGAGCTCGCGGTACAGGTTGCAAAGCCTTAAGCCATGCTCGTGAGGGACGACTCCTACTGTTTGACGGCTGGGCTGAACGAATTCGTTTTGGGAACCTTGGTCGGCCGGCCGCGGGTGTCTAACGTGACGCTCTCGGCTCCTTCTTGGCCTAGAACGGGTCAGGGGTGTTACAAGTCCAACAGCAGGAGTCGTTCCTCACGATCACGTCCTAAGGCTTTGCAACGCGTACCGCGAGCGTGAGTTGTGTTAGTTCAGAGAAGACTAATAATGTCATGGGAGACACAGAGTTTATAACAACGTCGCTTTATTAATATCGGGAAAATAGTGTCATACGTATTATACACAAAACTACATCTTACAAAGGCAAGGAAATCTGCACCGGTTGGCATAACGTCCTTTGCTTCCCCTAAGGTTTCCCACTAATGGTTATACTTTGATTTTTGAACTGGTTCTTTTGTAATCTTCATTGACATCATCTCTTCCCTTGCAGCTGAAATCCCTTCTTCTACATTTACGGCTCTTTCCACAGCTTCATAGTAGCTTCGGAACTCTACCATATTGAGACGGCTTCGAATGGAGGGACGTAATCCACGAAGGAATTTACGTATCACCACTTGCTCATCTTCTTTACCGTAATTAGTGTACTTTAGGAGTCGGGCAAACTCGGCTTCATAATCTCGAACTTTTCTTCCTCCTTGTTTAAGTTGTAAGAATTGTGTCAGAAATCCATCCAAGTCGGTTCCACGACATAACGAGCTACCACATTCTTCCACCAGGTTAGAGCGTCATACTCTAAATAATGGGCTGTGATGTCCTTTCTACATCCTTCCGGGCATCGGGTTGCTTCAAAATTTCTTTTGAGGTCTTGCATCCATGTATCTACGTCATAAGGATTGGTGCTTCCTGGGAACTTTTATATGCCAATGTTCTTCATCATTATTACCATGTCAAGATACTTGGGTGGCGGTGGTGGTTCTGACTGCGCATTGATTACCATTTGCTAATGTTGCTTCATTTGATCCAACATCCCATACATTAAGTTTATCATCAGGTTCTCCTCCTGCATTCTTGGTGGTGGATTCCCTGGTGCGGGAACTTGTCTTTGAGGTTCATTCCTTGGTAGATTAACGTTTGGATTCATACCTCGGGGATTCTGATTCATCCGAGGCTCCTCTTGAGGAATTTCTTGGGGATTCTCATTCCCATCGGAAACAGACATGGGTCTCGGTGGTGAAACTCGTTCTGGTCTTGGTTATCGAGGTCTAGGCATATTAGCACACCTTTCGGCTATCGATCCTACTGATAGTGGCAAGTATATTGACTTGTTCTCTGCACCATTGCGAACATTTGTGCTACCATCACTAACATTGTTCTGGTATCCAAAGACCCAATTCCCAAATCCAGGTGGCAATTCCCACGACCGACCTCTGCTAAATCCTTGTCCAGACATATGCATGATCACAAAGGGTAAGTCCTAATCCCAACTACCTATAATAAGCATGGACGCGCCAGTTTATCCTAATGCCTTTTTGGACTCTTTTACTCGATAAAACAATTGAAAACTGGTTGGTTCCCATGAGCATCATTAACCATGCTCTGATACCAAACTTCTCCCTTGTCTTTGCTCTAGCTATCATTGTCTTTAACTATATTCTTTTTAACCTCACGATTTCCATCTCATGGGGTTAATCTTGTTGTCCTCTTTTTTTTCCTTTTCTTATTGTGTCTTCACTATACTTGACTCCAATATCTCACTCTCTTCTTCTAATTATCCTTTCCATTGGATAATTATTTTTACTCCTATTCTCTTTGTTTTCTCAACATTAATACTTGATCTTGCTCTTGTAACATTAAAACTTGATCTCGAGCTAGTGTCCTTCTAGTCCCTCCAATTAACTTCCACTTATCTTCCTTGGTAATATTAACTCCATCCTTTGAGTTAATATAAATTCTTCTTGGATCCTTCGATGACTCCATCTTCTCCACTCTATACTTGGTATTACCATTGCTCCATATGTGGAACCACTTTTCTCTCAAGCATGATTAGTGGTCCTCTCTAACAAATTTATTCCTTATTAACTGCTTCATTTGATCGTCATGACACTTCCTCTTGATCACCTCTCATTTACCCTTGGATGTTGGATGCAGATGTCTTGCCCAAAAGTAGAGAGATGAATACTATGGGGTCGAATCCATTCCTTCCATATTAGTTATTCATCAAGAAGAAAAATTGGCAAGACATAAGGTGAATCGAGAAGATAAACCTTTGGATTAGATTACCCTTACCCATTAGGTATCATAACAGGTAAGTATGGGTTTTATCTTTCTCCTTTTTATGGTGTTTTGCATGTTGATTGTTTGTTTTATTTCAAGTAAGTGTTGGTTTAGTTAGGCGTAGAATATTTGGGGAATGGTAACCCCAAATGTGTCGAGAGTTAGGATTTTAGTCTTTGTGACCCCAAAGATTTATAATCCTAAGAGTGAGATATCTAGAGTTTAGGAAACCATAGTTTTCTACTAGAAACCACCCTTTACCTTCCGGTGGTGACTTGTGGCATGTGGAAGTGAGGTATCAAGAGATAGGTACGCTATCAAGCAATAGTAACAGAAGGAAGAATGAAGATTGATAAAAAGAAGAGTCCCTAGTATGGTTGTGATACCAATAGCCATAAAAAGAAGTGAATTGGCGTATTCAAGTAAAGGTTTTGCATCTCTGGAAGCAGTATTCCACCAAAGTTGGTGAAACAATGGAGATGTTTTTGGTCGACATTTCTGTAAGTTACAGTATGCAAAATTGGGATTGTTTTCATTTTAATTTACTTAGTTTGATATTGAAGTTTCTTTCCGTTTAACTTTCACATGGTCATAAGATTGCAGCTAACATCAAAAAGGAGCATATCAAAAAGTTTGAAAATTTTTTGATCCCAAATTCTTGGATCATTATTTCTATTTTTGGTTTAACTACTTTTTATGGTGCATTTAAAATATCGGACATAAAGTTTAAGATTGGTTTCATGTCGAAAACAATTATCACCGCTTCTGAAAACATTTCCGACGACATGTTTCTTCAATTGGCCAGTTACGGTGATGTTCTTGCTGGGAAACAAAACAAGAGTTTGTTATTTGGTTAGAATTTTTTTAGTATTTTAAAACTGAATGAAATGTTTAATTTCTTCTATAACTAATTTGATTTGTTGCAGAATTTATGGGCCAAGTCGATGATTGTGGTGAGATTCAAGATATCCTTACTTCTACTAAGCCTACCAAGAAGATCGACTTTCATGTGAGAAACAAGGAGTAAGCTTACAAATTTTAAAGTAACAATTTTCAATTAGGAATAAAATACTTGGTAACGCATATTTGTAATTGATTACTATTATTAATCATTCGCAATTGTAGGGTACTCGGGTGTTATGTACACTGTGGGAAAAATTTGCTAAATCACTCAGTCAAGCATATCAAGAAGCGACGGATGGTGTTGTAATTTGTTTCATACGATTTGGAAAAGTCAATGTTTTCATCAGTAACATAAAAAATTATGTTACATAATCTTATACATCAAAATATATCCTGCATACAGACTAAAAGAGCATTCCTAGTTACAATCATATATATCTAAAATGACTAATTCAGATGTTTGGAGTGTTTCTAATTCTTATAACACACAATTGCTTACTAATATGGTCATACCAATGATTGAAGACATTAAGAAAAGGTATGTACTCGGATTTGATTGAGATTAGTAATTATCTACGTTAGAAATCACTTATTATTAATACCATTTATGTTTAATTTAATGTAAACAGCCTTACCATTGATGGTTCGGAATTGACTGTCGTGGGTAACTTACACACTACTGTCTTTTTTGGTCGTACTAAAAAAGAAGACATCGATGAGTTTCCCGTCATGACTATTGAGGAACTGCTTCAAGCAACTGAGGTTTGTTTAAATTTTCGTTTAACAATTACTAATATGTTTTATCTAACATATATATACATCTCACATTTCCATTTACACGATTGTTGGTAGGATCGGTTCGCACTCTTTGTACGGTTAAAGAAAATGATACCGACTATTCTTGGTTCTATTATGCATGTAAAAAATGCAACAAAAAAACTACCAAGGAGGATGTCATTAAGCTGAAAGATGTTAAGGCAAAACCTATACCAAGATTTTGGTGTGAGGTCTGTAAAGATTACGCTAAAGGCGTCTCTCCAAAGTGAGATAATTCCTGATCAAGTTGATTGAATTTATTTTCTATTCATCTTTTTAACCATTATCAAATTTTTAGGTTTTGGATTCACCTTAATGTCATTGACCATACTGGTGAGACTAGAATTATGATGTTTGACAGTTTTGCTGAGGATATCGTTGGGACGGCTGCTACTGAAATCATACCTAAAGGATCATTTGATCTGGTATATTATATAATAACATCTATACGATTAAATAAAAAGTTTACTATCTTCAATCATTACTAACTCAATGCTTATAAAGTTTGAAGATCCCACAGATTTGCCAGATCTGATCAAAGCTTTAGTTGGGAAATCTTTTGTTTTCCTCCTTTGCATCGAGCCCAAACATATTCATGGAAAATGTGACATTTATAGGGTTGCACAAGTTGCTGAGGGGAAAACAAGATCTGTCCCTGAAATATCCTTATCAGATACATATTTTGATCAATCATCAATTTACTCGGCTGACCAGGTTAGTAGTAGTCTAAAAAAGTCAATTAAAACTATAGTAATGTCAAAGCATTATGCTATATACATTTTGTTTATTTTCGCATATCATCTCTTACATATATTCTATTTTTAGGGTTCTCTCATGATAAGCGATGGTGTAGAGACGTCTGAAGTAGGTATCTCAACTTCCTCAACTCCATCATCAAAAAAAGATTCGACTAGCATGAAAGAAGGAGATGTCCAGTCATCAACATCCAAAAGGCAATGTTCGAAGATGGGTGTACTAGATGATGTCAAGGTTGCTACAAAGGATGATAAGGAAAAACATAAACTTGACTAATTTACTTTTTCAGTTTTACAAACATTAGGTTTTGTTTTTAATTTTTCCTTCCAGAACTATTTTCTTGGTTGTTTTTATTTATTTATTTGCTATTATCTTTTGCTTGTATATATTTTTATCGGTTTTAATATTTCAAAATTAGTTTAAAGTATTGGTTTTAATGAAAATTAAACCAAAAACGAAGGCCCAACATTAGCCCAAATTCATAAACGATTAGCTTATACAATGATTACTTCCGATCAGTTCAAATAACATACAAACGAAAAAACCAAGTTCCAATAAACTTTGCATAGGAAAAATAAAATAACTCATGATTATCATCACTCTATCCTATGCATAGATTAGTTTTCAGTTTGAATACATCTTTTAACCCATGACAATTAACAAAAATCAATAGGAAAATACTTGATAATTGTAGGTTGAGTTAAATTTTTGTTTCTTTGTAAATCCTCATTAATGAATACATCATTTTATTATATACTAGCAGTTGACCCGCGCCGCGCGCGGGAGGTTTATATTTTCTTTTTGTTAATTGTGATATTTTATTTTATTTTTAATTGATTTTCAAAACATATTATAATTATTTTCTCTTTAATTATTATTTTTCATTCTCAAATTTGGATTAAAAGCATTTGATTCAGTTTATGAAATATCATTTTTCGATCATGTTATAAACTAATATTTCACTTTCAATTTTATTTTATTTTCTCTTTAAAATTTTTATATACAATTACATAAATATTTTTTTATTCTTCCATAAAATTTAAAATTTACTTCCAATCTAAAACTCAGTAACACATATAAAATTTTAAACTATGATCAATTTAAAATGAAACTTGAGTTATATTATTACCGCTAATAAAAAATATTCAATTATTGTTTTTTTTTATTTTAACATTTCATTTATTTTACATAATTTATTTTTATTTATATAAACTTTCTATTAATTGCCGACAAAAAAAAACTTTCTATTAATTAAATAAGTAACATAAATATGCATTAAATGAATGTTTTCAATTTATTTTAATGTAAAAAAAAAATGTAGCTTAGGTAGATGCTAAGGTGGCATCATGAGAAGAGAGAAAAGCTAACTTTATATATATAGATTACTATTATACTTACCAAATATTTATAGGTTTTGACATTCACTTTCATGCAGACCCATATATATATTTATGAGACAGCTCATAGATCATTGAAAGAATCAAACTATTCTTTACCAACCTTACATATGTTTACCAAATAGTCAACATTTATACCGAAGATAAAGTCTATGATGTGATTGATATGGAAACCAGAAATAATGAATATCTTTTGTATTGATCTCAATTGACTCTAAAATATTAAAATATTGCGAAAACACATTATTCTTTTCCTATTAACCAGCGGAACGATACATATCAAAAGTCGCATATATTCACTATATTAAAAACCTTTTTCGACTTCCATTAACATAACCTCAAAGAAGACGAAACTATTCAACCCTAACTCCATCCTTAAAAATAATCTTTCCAAAACTTAATCATCTCTACCATGAAGGTCGATGCAGTAGCTGATTTAACCCCACAAGGTAGTGGTGCCATTATAAGGCTCAAGGTTTTAAATACTTGGCTTTCTCGTGATTTCTTTAGCAAGAGGGTTATGGTACTCGCTGATATAAAGGTAATTCATTTCTTAAAATTGGCGTTAAAATTAGTTTATTAGTTAGATATTGGTGGATTAGTTTAGGTTAAGAAAAAGGAACAGTTTTTGTAGGGTGATGGAATAGAGTTAACAATTCCTCCCGGCTTGAAGAATCCGGAAGTACCACGACAAGTCTATGATGGTGAGTGATATTTTTTAAGGGACTTCAAAGTCATCCCGGCTATTCGTAAAAAGAGTAATACAAATCATCCGTACCAGATTAAGCTAACCGAGAAGAGTGATATGATGGAGATTAGTCCTGATTCATTGAAGAAATTTTACCGGTTTGAAGATTTCTACCATGTTGCTAGAGAGTTGCTTCCATCTAACAACTCTTATGGTTGGTGCTTTTTGCTTTTATTTAGTTCTACAGAACAAAAAGGTAATCTTACAACTATATTATCCATTGAATAGATTGCACTTAGTCATAAGTTTTGGTTTTGTATGGATGTTAGATTTCTATAGCTGCATTGTTGATGTTGGTCAAGTGAAAGAAGAGGATTTTACTGACAGTAAAGATGGGATGACTACTAAGATCAATGGTTTAGTTATCAAATTGATCAATGGGAGGTAATCTTTGTAGTAACTTATTTAACGACAGGATTACTAATTCATTGATGATGAGAAGTCTTAGTTAACATGTTACATCTTTGCAGGAATAAACAACTTCTATGCCATATAACCTGTGGTGCTGTTCAATACTTCAATAACCTGTGGCAAAAAGGTGGTTTCCATCTGACATACAAAACGGATCATGTGTTTTGCATCTTTCGTTTCTGGCGGGTGTCTAAGTATGAAGGTAAGTTTACTAAATTTGTATTACTGCAGTTCTTAAGGTTTCTAACTGACTACAGTTTGTAATAAACGAAAATGAACATTGTAGGAGTCCCTTGCATTACCAATGATACACATATTGGTAGTGGAGCAACTAGGATTTAACTTAATCCTCAAGAAGAAGGTCTCCAAAGTCATCGTACCATGTAAGTTCACTTATGTGTCTTTTCGTGTTTTTATGTTTATGATAATATTTTTTCTAATAATCTGACTTTCAATTCACATTTCCGAGTTCGCTGCTCGGCATTATTTTAGAAATCAAGCATGAAAATGAAGCCAAGGAACGAAGAATGAAGATCCAAAGTCGTCCTTCTATGTTTTGTAATTTTTTTTTTTGGTTTGCTAACTGATAAATAGTTGTCAAATATTTTGGAAAACAAGTTTAATTAAATGACTAATTATATAAGCTTTTAATTTTCAGTAATGTACTTCCAATTTATTGTATAAACACATCGTATATGTTTAACAAAATTGTCGTAACATTCTTAAAAGAAATGAACAAATATTTATAAGAATTCTTAAGTCATTCCGTTTTGGTAAATTTGAACTTCATTTTTCTTATATAGAGACTTGAATTAATGTTGCATCAGTAAATTTAAAACCTTGGAATTCCATTAATCATGTGAATCTTAATAAAATAATGGGCCTCTTAAAAACCTAAAAATGAAGTTTTGGCCCTTTAAGAATTTGATGGCACTTTATATTACCCCCTTCGATTCAAGTCTTAACACATAAGGCCTAGCAACATTTTTTAAAAAACCAAAATAGGCTACTTATATATTATTCAGTAGTATATTCTAATTGGGCATACAATATGACAATTAATACTATATACTGAATCAGTTTACAAGGTTATAACGCGAATAAGGTTAAAATAAGACCCCATACCCTCAGTGACCATTTAGAAAACCTAAAATGTTAGAATTGTCCATGACATTAGTCATTTGAAGATTAACAAACTTATGTGCCATTAAGTGTTCAAAAGGAAAAGGCCTATCAACAATTTTTATAAATTTTGAATGGGCTACATATATATTAATCATGTGTATATTCTAATTGAGCATCCTTTTTCTATATTAACCATCAACACTTAATTACGAGAATCGATACGATAATTACTGTATCGATAAACGTAATTGCCGTTTTCCAAATATGAAATGATTTACCTCTACACTTTTTAGTTTTGTCTAATTCAATTAACAAAGAATAAAATAAAAATAAATGATCTTCTTTTATGTACTTCCATTAACACCACTTTCCTGAAACGAAATTGATCTTAGGGTCAATATAATCTTCAATATTTTTACCTTCAGAAAGTAACTACAGTAGAACCATGCCAAGAGTTTATGTCTCCGATCTAACTCCAAAAAGGAAAGATTGGGGGATAAAAGTCAAGGTTTTGAGTACTTGGATAACTTCTGATGAGATGAAAAAGAGGGTACTTATTCTGCCTGACGAGAAGGTATATATTGTTAAATCTTTTATCTACAAATACATCTTTTTAATTTAGTTTTATCAAATTAGGTTCTATTATTTACTGGAATTTTCGATATAGGGGGTAGAATCGAAATGACTATACCTTCTGATCTGAAGAACCCTATGATCATTAGAGACATATGTGATGGAGATGGTTAGACATATGGGATTTCAGATTAATAACTCCTCTGTTGAGACAGAGAAACACCAACCATCGTTATCAAATCAAGACCATAACCAAAACGCAAATGTGGTGGGAACTATCACATGAAGATAAGCTTTACTTAAGGTTTGAAGATTTCACCCATGTTGTTAAAGAGTTGCTACCGTCAAACAACTCATACGGTATGTTTTTGTGACCAATATGTTTTGTTTCAGATTCTGCATAGAACATAATGTCATATATAACAGAGCAAAATGATTAGTTTATTTATCCCCTTTTATAGATTTCTATGGCTGTATAGTTCACATCGGTGAACTAAATCATCGAGATTTTGTGTTCAATGTCTATGGACAAACTTCTAATGTCACTGGTGTTGGTGTAGGAATTAGCACCAACGACATACCGGCCTAAGCCAAGACGGAATCGAATTAAACCAATAAATCGGGGAATCCCGGTATATTGTCTAATTAATGCAAAGGGTGCTTCATTCCTAAAATGGAATGTACGACCTCGGATCATTAGGGTTTCGAAAACCCTAATCGAATATTTATGACAATATCTTCTGAAAATCTAAGGAAAATGAGCATTTATTGTAACCCTAAATCTCTTGTATAAATAGAGAAGATGTCTCTATTCTAGGGCATCGATCATTTAATAACAAAAACCCTAGTTCTTCACTTGTTCTTGAGCAAACCCTAAATCGTTCATTTCTAGGTCGAATCAATCCTTCCAAATCCGTTTTAATCGAGTTCTTGAGAGATTGTTCAAATTGAATTTATTCTCCTTTTTTTAATAAATTCATTGTGTGAACCCTTGGTTCAACAATTGGCGCTAGAAGGAGGGGGGGAATTTTTTCCTTTTAGAAAGCATTTTCAAAAGTAACACTTCTCTCAACTCGGTTAACGAAGCAATCCACCTTGAGATGTCTCAGCAGCTCAGCCCTGTTGACTCACGTCCAAACGAGGAGCCCGACGAGGAGCCCCGTACTAACGACTCGACCTTCAACGAGAGGCTCGAAGAAGAAGTCCGTTAAATGGATCTCCCGGTGCCAACCGAAACCACCGAGCATCCTCAAACTGGCGAGGTGGAAGGCGACACGATTGCCCCTCGAAGGTCCGAAGGTCAGCCCACGGACGAGCCACAACTCGCTCAGGTCGCTCCAGCATGCCCACCTGTTCAGCAAACCGTATCCATGGACGACCTGCGCATAGTATACGGAAGCATGACGAAAGATATCTACGACCGAATCGCGGCAGCCGACCACCGGATGAATACAATCATTCGCAATCGCACGCCGGAATCTAACGCGCAAGATGTAAGTCTCGACGTCCCCGCCCCCAGTCGGGTCGGAGGATGCACGGTACGTCCCCCAGTACCAGTTGGCCGCTCGTGCGTAAGACCTTCGCCAACTGGGACTCGACCCCGAGCATTGGTAACAGCATCCAGCCAACCTGCGGATCCGCCTAGTTCCGGGCGTAACCTGGATCTGGAAGATCTGTACGCAAGGATAGCCGACATAAACTCTCATGTCCATCGAGTCTCCAGCTCAGCCCCTGAAATCGACCGTATGTTCGAAGAGACACAGCGAACTCCCTTCACGAGCCGCATCACTCAAGCCCGAATTCCGCATATCAAATTCAGGCTGCCGACGTACGACGGGGACAAGGATCCACGCACCTTTATGACGGCGTTCATGGCCGCAGTCACAAAAGCACACTTCTCCGACGAAGAGAAAGATACAGGACATTGCCAGCTATTCGTTGAAAGTCTGACGGGCAATGCCCTTACCTGGTTTTCTCGGCTTAGCCCGAATTCGATCGATAATTTCGCCCAGCTATCGACCTCGTTCCTCCGACACTAGCGGCATTTCATACAACCCGGAGCGTCCAGCATCGATCTCTGGGACACAACTCAGGAAGCCGGCGAAACTCTGCAGCAGTACTTGGTGCGATTCAAAAATTTGCTGGCCAAAGTATCAGTTCCAAAGGATGCCGCTTTGGCCGCATTTCGCAAGGGGCTCATTCCAGGATCGTCCCTACGAAAGGACTTGGCCATCCGTGAGCCGAAAGATCTCGACGACGCACTACGCAGTTTTTGAAGAAGAAGATGCCAAACTAGCGGCGAAGTCTGGAGCAAACCGTCCTGCACCCCGAGACCGAAAACGTGAAGACTACCGGGAACCACGTAAGCACTATGAGGGAAAGGACGCCTCGCGCGGTGCAATTAGCGCGATCTCAGAAGAAGCCAGTAACCAAAAAACGTCGTCCAAAGAAGCGTACTGCACTTTCCATAAGTTCGCCGGACATTCAACCGAAGAGTGCAAGCATCTCTCTAATTACCTCCTCGATAAATACAAGTCCAGCGAAATAGAAGCGGTATTCCAACCCAAAGAATACAGAGGACAACGACCTGACAGAAGGCGCGGACGTGGTCGAGGCCGAGGCCAGGCGACGCGACAATACCGAGAGGACGGCCCCGATCGGCGAGACCGGTCTGATGAGAGGCGAAGTCCCGAACGGCATAACGATGAAGAGGGAGAACTGCCGGGACGGATAACCATGATACTGGGAACGCCTGAGGACTGCAAAGACTCGGTCCGGGCCCTCAAAAAAAGAGCTAGACAGGTGTGCAGCTTGCATGTCGCACCGGAGGACGAAGTGCCGGCTGGCGAACTTATCACATTCACTTCCGACGATGACAAGGGAATACAACACCCCCATAATGACTCCATAGTCGTGGAAGTAACCATGGGTAATTACGATGTGGAACGCGTTTTAGTCGATACCGGCAGTACCGTCAACGTGCTATTCTTAGGCACCCTAGCCAAGATGGGGATCTCAGAATCCGAAATAAAACCGAAAGCTCGAACGCTAACCGGTTACGATGGTACGACCGGTCTCGCAATGGGGGATATCAAAATCGAAATGAAGGTCGGAGGAGTGCAAAGAAGCTCAAGTTCACGGTAGTTGACGCCCCACTAATCTATAATGCGATACTCGGCTCCCCTTGGATTTATGCCATGAGAGTCATTCCTTCTATTTATCATCTGTGCGTGAATTTTCCTACGGCAACCGGAATCTATATCTTGTATGGCGACAAGAAAATGTCACGGAACTGCTGCATTATCGAAAAGAAGCAGAGAAGGGACGACCTCGCATAGCAATTACAGAGCGGAGAATGCAGCGACGTTCTCCAAAAACCGGCGCGCGCATCCCTCCAATCTGCGAGTTGCCAGGTTATCCAGGTCAATATCGACGAATGCGATCCCTCCCGAACAGTGGGCGTTGGAGCCATGCTAGACGACCCGATCAAGCATAAGCTGGTAACTTTCCTGAAGACGAGATCGTACACGTTCGCATGGTCAACTAAGGACATGATCGGAGTAGATCCCGAAGTAACTTGTGGACCCCACTTTCAAACCAGTTCGCCAGAAAAGGCGCAGACTGGGCAACGAACGAGCCCAATCAGTTCAAGACGAGATACAACGACTGTTAAAGGCGGACTTTATCATGGAGGTATAATACCCGGAGTGGCTGGCGAACCCGGTTGTCGTCAAAAAGAAAAACGGCAAATGGAGAACGTGTGTAGATTTTACCGACCTGAACAAAGCCTGTCCCAAAGACTCTTTCCCGCTCCCACACATAGATCGCCTGGTAGAAGCAAGTTCGGGGAATCAATTGTTATCATTTATGAACGCCTTCTCAGGTTATAACCAGATTATGATGCACGTTGCTGACCGCGAGAAAACGTCCTTCATTACGGATAGGGGAACATATTGCTACAAAGTCATGCCTTTCGGTTTAAAAAATGCGGGAGCAACCTATCAACGCCTCGTAAACCGAATGTTCGCCGATCTCCAGGGACGGACAATGGAAGTGTATATTGACGACGTGTTGGTGAAGTCGTTAACGGCAAAAGACCACGTCCATCATCTCACGGAATGCTTAGATCTTCTCGAAAAATACCGGATGAAGCTAAACCCAACTAAGTGCACATTTGGAGTGACATCCGGGGAGTTTCTGGGGTACATCGTGACCGAACGCGGGATCGAGGCCAACCCAAAGCAGATAACGGCGGTTTTGGAGCTCCCTTCCCCAACTAACAAACGCGAGGTTAAACGTTTGACAGGTCGGATTGCAGCTCTCAATCGCTTCATCGCAAGGTCGACCGACAGATGCCTTCCCTTCTATCAACTATTCCGAGTAAATCGAGATTTTCATTGGGACGAGCGATGTGAAGCGGCTTTTCAAGAGTTGAAGACGTATTTAACCAGCCACCCCATCCTAGTAAAACCCGAGAACGGCGAGGTCTTATACCTTTACGTTTCGGTCTCTAGCACGGCAGTAAGCAGCGTCTTAGTCCGAGACGATCGCGGTGATCAGAGGCCTGTTCTCTACGTCAGCAAATCTTTGAACGATGCCGAAACACGCTACCCAACATTAGAGAAGTTCGCTTTGGCCGTCATCGTCGCCACCCGGAAGTTGCGTCCGTATTTCCAATCACACGCGATCGTCATCTATACCGATCAACCACTTCGGACAGTGCTGCACAGCCCCATGCAATAAGGAAGAATGGCTAAATGGGCCATCGAACTAAGCGAATACGATATTGAGTACCGCTCTCGCCCCAGTCTGAAATCGCTGGTTTTAGCGGACTTTATCGTCGTGCTCGCCCCAGAAATCGTGGAGGACGCATCAAAAATCGAAAGCTGGACCCTCTATGTCGACGGATCTTCTTGCAACCAAGGATCCGGAGTAAGAATCCTCTTGCGATCACCAACAGGCGAGGTTCTGGAACAATCGTTGAAACTCGGTTTCAAAGCATCCAATAACGAGGCCGAGTACGAAGCTCTACTCGCGGGAATACGACTTGCTAGGGGCATCGGAATAAAACATATCCAGGTATTTTGCTATTCACAACTGGTCGTAAGCCAATTCAGCGGAGAATTCGACACCAAGAACGAGCGGATGAGTTCTTATCTGGCGTTAGTCCGATCCGCCTCGGCCAAATTTGATAGCTTTTCCCTCACAAAAATTCCACGTTGCGACAACACTTCGGCCGACGCCCTCGCCGCCTTAGCTTCGAATGCGAATCCGGACCTCCGCCGATCCATCCCCATCGAAAGTATCGATCTACCGAGTATCGCTCAACCTCATGAGATCAACCTCATCATGAACGACCTGATCCAAATGGAGATCGACCCAGTTGAGAACGAGCCTCACGACGAGGAAGCCCCCCCGGTCGATTGGCGGGAAGATATCAAACTCTACATACAAAGCAGTCAGGTCCCTGAAAACCGGTGGCAAGCTCGACGGTTAAAAGCCCGATGCGCCAATTACATTCTGGCCGATGGAGAACTTCTCCGGAGAAGTTCCAATGGAACTTTCCTTACTTGCGTCGATCGAGACGAAAGCGAAAGAATTATGGGCGCGGTCCACGAAGGAGACGGCGGGAACCATTCAGGAGGACGCGCGTTGGCCTTAAAAATAAAGAAAGACTTCGAGGCATTTGCCCAAAAGTGCGAAGCTTATCAAAGGCACGCCACCTTAAAACACGTACCTCCCGAATCGCTCTCTCCCGTGACAGCACCCTACCCTTTCATGCGATGGGCCATGGACATCACCGGACCGTTTCCTCCTTGCCGCACTAAAAGATTTTTGCTGGTGCTCACCGACTTTTTCACCAAATGGGTGGAGGCGGAATCATTCAATCAGGTCAAGTCGGGCGACGTAACCGGATTCATCTGGAAGTACATTATCTGCCGACACGGTATCCCCTATGAGATCGTCACAGATAACGGATCCCAATTCACTTCCTACCTAACCAAGCGTTTCTTCAGAAAATGGCACATCAAACTCAGTACGTCAACCCCGCGATACCCTAAAGGAAACGGCCAGGCCGAGGATACCAACAAAACTATCCTCGACGGCATCAAGAAAAGGTTAGGTCGGAAAAAGGGACTATGGGCCGACGAACTCGACGGAGTATTATGGTCGCATCGCACAACTCCGCGACGCGCAACCGGATTTTCGCCGTTCGCCTTGGCTTACGGTGTTGAGGCAATGGCGCCTTCGGAGGTCGGAATACCGACGCTCCTGCGAACAATGATGATCGCGGACCCGGAGTTAAACGAAGCTCGGCTCCACGATCACCTCGATTGGAGTGAGGAATTACGAGATCAAGATTTTGCTGGTGCTCACCGACTTTTTCACCAAATGGGTAGAAGCGGAATCGTTCAGTCAGGTCAAGTCGGGCGACGTAACCGGATTCATCTGGAAGTACATTATCTGCCGACACGGTATTCCCTATTAGATCATCACAGATAACGGATCCCAATTCACTTCCTACCTAACCAAGCGGTTCTTCAGAAAATGGCACATCAAACTCAGTACCTCAACCCCGCGATACCCTTAAGGAAACGGCCAGGCTGAGGCTACCAACAAAACTATCCTCGATGGCATCAAGAAAAGGTTAGGTCGGAAAAAGGGACTTTGGGCCGACGAACTCGACGGAGTATTATGGTCGCATCGCACAACTCCTCGACGCGCAACCGGATTCTCGCCGTTCGCCTTAGCTTACGGTGTTGAAGCAATGGCGCCTTCGGAGGTCGGAATACCGACGCTCCGGCGAACAATGATGATCGCGGACCCGGAGTTAAACGACACTCGGCTCCACGATCACCTCGATTGGAGTGAGGAACTACGAGATCAAGCAATGATCCGTATACAAAACTACCAGAACTCGGCAGCAAAGTATTACAACAAGACCGTCCGGGAACGCCGTTTTAATGAGGGCGACCTGGTTCTGCGAGAAGTTTTCGAAAACACCAAAGAGCTCAACGCCGGAAAGCTCGGAGCAAAATGGGAGGGCCCCTATATCGTCGCACGGCGAGTTCATCCAGGCGTCTATGAACTATCGACCATGGAAGGACAGCGAGTGCAACACTTCTGTAACGCGGCCCACCTCAAAAGGTTCTACTATTAGGTCGGGAATCCGACCACAAAGGCAGATGGATGCCTCACTCGGGAATCCGAGTCTTTCATTTGATGTACTGTGAACTACGATTGGCTTGATACTCGAAAGAGGTACGTAGGCAACCATGATACATGGTGCAGCTAACAAAAAAAAATATATAAAGTAATAATGAACGCGCGATTGTCGTTAACGATCCCGTTTTATTTGATAAAGTTTGTTACAAGGAGAGTACACTCTTAGGCAAATACACTCTTGGGCAAATACACTCTCGAGCCAAAACAATAAAAAAAAAAAACAAAGGGAGAAGAAGAAGCTCATAATGGCCACTAGCCAAAGCGACCGACTTAGCCCCCCAAACCGACGAATTCGGGAAACAGGTCGGTGTCGCCGTCGTCCAACTGCGGAAGAGGATACTCCTTCTCCTCTTCCGCCCAGAAGGAACTTGCCTGCCTCGCCAGTTTGATGATCTTTCTTCTGATCGGCACCCCCTCGGAAACCATCAGCAGAAGGAAACTCTCAACACCTTCCGCACGAACCCTTTGATTAGTGACTTCGGCCGCACTATTGAACGCGACAATATAGTCGCACAACCGAGCAATACGAGCGCGATATCCCTCTAGTTCTTCGCTACGCGTCCGGCTCGCAACGAGAGGCCCATCAAACGAATCAAGGTCCCCTTCTCGAAGCCGCGAGACTTTGATACGTTCAAGAGAGGATTGTAGGTAGTAGAACTGACCCGATGACAGCGCACGTTCTCGAAGGGTATCGTCGAGGCCACGCTCCAAAACGGATTTCTCTATGAACTCCTCAACCCCGAGATATCGTTCGAGGTCGGCCTTCGGATTTTGACGCTCCCAAAGTAACCGGATGTGCATGCTTAGCCTGCAAATTCGGGCCTTGTAAACCTCCGCATTGGTCTCATCTTCATTAAGTTGTTCTACCGGACGGCGACCTCCGCGGAGAAAGGGATCGTTAGCAGTCCCTCTAAAAGATCCGGCCATTGAGGGAATCGCTGAGTGATAATAAAATAGATACCAAAAGCAGGATATTTATAGCCAGAAACCGCATTGAATGCCAGCTATTTCCCAACCACCCTCATCCGAATGACCATACACTGAAGAGGCACGCATCACCATGTCAATTGGGACCAAGCGATCGCGAATCTCGAGATGGCTCAGAGTGACGACCCGTCAAATCACTCTTTCGCAGTTTCCCAAAAAAAAAAAAAAAAATAAATATAATAATATAAATAGATATATATATATAATAAT